TTGCACCAGTTTCTAAAAGAAATCTTTTGACAGTAAAGGATGAAGAGACGTTTTTTTCTAAAACGGACATACTAAATTTTAAACTGATACGACGGCAAATTTGATTATAAATCCCCTTTGAAGCGTGGACGACTTTTGTCAACTCCCCGTTACCGGACTCAAAAGCAAACGTGTTATGACTCCATAGAGGTCCCCAATCGTAAACACTTCTGGCCAAATGTAACAGAAGGTGCACATTAAAAGTCATAGCGACTTTAGAGTATAGAATTTGAGTCTTTCCAACAAATTCGTGTAATAGACGGTCAGCTTGCTCAATTTCCCAAGTTGCAATATTGCCCTTCTGTAATATATACAGCGCTTCAACGAATAATGCCCAATGTGCTAGTAATTCAGAAGGTAAAACATGTTGAAGAACTGGCAAACTATAAAATAGGACCCAATTCTCCCACTCTCTAGACTTCCAAAACTCTTTCTCTGATAGCAAACGCGTTAATCTACCTATTTGATGCGGTACTTTAATTTCTTTTAATAATTTATCAATGTCAGACACCGTTTTCTTAGTAAATAATCCAGCTTTAGTCTTTTTTCCGAACCAAATAGTTGCAAATTGCTTCGCTACTCCAGCAATGCAATGCATACTGTCAGGAACACAACCCCAAATAATATCAAAAAAAATTAAATTTATTAAAGGAGATGGATTTTTTACACCCTGATAAGGTTTTTTATCTTTCACAGCTTTTTTCATGTCTTTTACGGTATCTTTGGCATTTCTTTCTTTAGGCATAGTTTCCGTCAAAGGATATTTAATGTTTCCACTACGCTTATTACTTGGATTATTTAAAACTGTCTCCCCAGGATGAAGACACTGAGGGCAGCCAAAAAGCCCGTTAAACTGTATGAAACCTTGACAAGGAGCTCGCGCAACCGAATCGACGCAGCATATTAAAGCAAAAATCTTAATAATTTCGGTACAACCATTTATAACGCATGCGATACCTTTTGTAGATAAAGTGTTCATCATCTCAACGAATGGCCGAAGAAATGTTTTCATGTCCGGTTTATTTTTGCCAAACCAGAGTCCTACTAATATAAGCTCTTTTGTCCTTACGTCTAAGGGTAATTCGTTAACCATTAAATAAATCGGCCAAATGGAATTCGCGGAACTTTCAAATAAGGGTGCACCATCGGTGTTAAAAATTACTGTAGCATATTTTTTTCTGTCTTCTTCACTTAACTGTTTTACAAATTCGCGATATTTTTTCCCGTCATATATGTCGTGAATTTGACCTTTTTTATGCACCCTGTCTTTTATAATATATTTATAATATTCGGAATTTGATTCAAGTAAATGTCGAATAGAATCTGAAACGTCTAGCATTACGAAAAAGTCTTTAAATGAGTTTTCTTTAACATTGATTTTTGTCTTACAAAGGGCACATTGAAGAAAATGATCTTTACGATGGAAATGGCCTATGTACGCGCCGCAATTCGTACATATTGCATGTAGCTTCATACTACTTTTTGGACAAAATAATTTGTCAATTAAATATTTTGTCGGTGGCAAAATACATTCTTCAAAGAGGCAATTAATCAAATTAAATAAATCATAAATTTGAGTTAATGATAATGCATGTACAATTGCATATTTCAAAATCATAAGAAGAATCTCTCCTACACTTCTGTTTACCGTTCTATTGATAGGTTCACTTAAACCATCACTGTTTATAAGGGCATCAAGACTTGAAAATTTGATATTTGACGGGTCATTAAATCCTTCATGTTCATCTTCAATAACATCCTCCAAAGCATCAAAGAACAAATCATGATCATTGTCTTCATTCTGGAAAACATAAAAAAATTAAGGAAACATTTAAAAATATGTAAAGCATTAAAGTTCTTTACTCAAACTCAGAATGTGAGTAACAGGTTGAGTGACTGAATAAGTAACTAAGTAATTGACTTAGTAAGTGACTGAGTAACTTACTGAGTGATTGAGTGACTGAGTGAGCGAGTGACCTGAGTAAGTGATTGAGTAACTGCATGAATCTCGTGTTTGATTGTCTGACTTAGAGAGTGATTGAGTAATTGACTAACTGAGAGATTGAATGACTAAGTATGTGACTGATTGTTTGAATTGCTGGGAGATTGAATGACTGAGTGAGTGATTAAGTAAGTGACTGAATGAGTGAACAAGTGAGAGTGTGATTGACTAACTGACTCAGTGAGTGACTGAGTGAGTAGTTGAGTAACTGACTGAGAAAGTGAGTAAGTAAAGTGACTAATTGTCTGAGATAGTGACTTAGGTAATGAGAGATTGAGTGACTGAGTGAATATCTAAGTGAGCGAGTGACTGAGTGAGTGACTGACTGATTGAGTAAGTTCTTGAGTGAATGACTGAGTAAGTGACTGTTTGACTGAATGACTGAGTAAGTGACTGTTTGACTGAATGCCTGAGTAATTGAGAATGTGATAGAGTATAATGAATTAGTAACAGACTGAGTGAGTGAGTGGCTGATTGAGTTAGTGACTGAGTGAATGATTGACTGAGTGACTGAGAGAGTGATTGACTGAGTGAGTGACTGAGAAAGTGACTGTCTGACTGATTGCCTGAGTAAGTGAGCAAGTGATTCAGAATGTGATATAGTATAATAAATGAGTAACAGACTGAGTGAGTGGCTGATTGTCTGAGTTAGTGACTGAGAGAGTGACTGAGTAAGTGACTGAGTGAGTGACTGAGTGACTGAGTAAGTGATTGAGAATGTGATAGAGTATGATGAAAGAGTTACAGCCTAAGTGAGTGAGTGGCTGATTGTCTGAGTCAGTGACTGAGTGAATGATTGAGTGAGTGACTGAGTAAGTGAGTGGCTGATTGTCTGAGTTAGCGACTGAGTGAGTGAGTGGCTGATTGTCTGAGATAGTGACTGAGTGAATGACTGATTAAGTGACTGAGTGAGTGACTGTCTGACTGAGTGAGTAAGTGAGTTAGTGTCTAATTAATTTTGTTAGAGTGACTAATGAACTCTTTGTCTGATTGAGTGAGTGAGTGGCGGATTTTCTGATGCTTTGAGTGAGTGAATAAGTGACACTGATTGAATGACTAAGTGAATGGCTGATTGAGAGGTTAAATCAGTGACTGACTGTGTAAGTAACTGAGTGAGTTAGTGACTGATTAAATGAGTGACTGAGGGACTGAGTGATTGAGTGACTGACTGAGTGAGGATATTTAAAACTCTTCAAAAACATATATGGAAAGGGAGTAGATATACCTCAACACGCGGAATCGTAGAATTTTCAATTTCATCGAGATCTTCCACTAATGAAATAACAGTATTGTAAATAATGTTATTATCGATATTAGAATCACGTTCCTTATTTAAAAGCGCCTGTAAAAAAGCGCAGTTGTTAAAAATAGATGTAATTATAAACTTTAATGTTATAAAAAATCTCAAAAGAATTTCAATTTTTGTTTATTTAATTAATAAAATAAAGAAGTATTTGAGACATTTACAAACTTTTCATTATAATAACATAATTATAAAAGTAAATTGCGAAAATATAAATGAAACTTATTGTTTCTTCAATTCTTTAAAATCTTTTTGTCAATTAATTAATTATTTATACCTAATATTAATAGATTCGATTTTAACAAAAGTTCATCAAACAAGAAAGCATGATTATTAATTCCCGCTTTCCAGATTATGACCGGTAATAATTAATTTTATTTCACTTTGCTAAAATTAAACTCTTTTGAATATAAGTAAGTTTCACTAATTAATAATAAAATAATCTTTGTATTTAATTAGCTAATAAATATTAAAATATTTTTTACCTCAATACATTTTAGTAAATCGGTATTTTCAGCATCATACGTAGATGTCAAATAATTATTTGAACTGTCAGTTTCAAAAAATGTTTCTCTAGTTTCTTGCTCATTAAAGATTTCTATATCACACTGTTCAGGAATTTTGTTTTCCGAGATAGAATTTGTCGCCTGTAATTTATGTTAGTTTTTAATGTTTTGCCTATTTATTTAGAAAATGTTTTTATATTTTATATTTGCTGTAAAGTTAGAAAAAAAAACTTTACATCAAAATACATACATCTTGGCAAAGTAATTTTTATAAAAAATTACTAATAATAAATTATATTTTTTAAATAATTTAATGATTCCAGTGAGAAACGATCTTTTTGTAAATAAATAATAAATAAATAAATCTTTACAGGGTTCAGATAGTAAAATAGTTAAAAAAATAAATTTTTATTTATAAAATTAATTAATATGTAATTTACATTTACTTGTTTATTTCGCTTTTTGTACCGATACCAAGTAGTTGCAGGAATTCCCTCTTCCGATTCAGGATCTAAATATCTTTTGTAACCACCCGAAATTCTCAAATTCTCCATGGTGTCTGTAGAATTTTATTACTTTTTAATATAAGTTATAATACATAATTATTTTCATGAAATTAAAGTCAATAAAATTAAATTATTAAATATCATAGAATATTTTATTACTTACATTATAATTGTTATCACTTGTACATATATTAAACTAAATGAGATTTCACTTTCCTCAACACTTAAAAATCGAACTTTTTAATTAAATTAATAAGAAATAATTTTTATCTATAAAGCAAATTTTTATTTTTTGACAGTTCACACGAAAAGAATAAAATTCTGACAAGTTATATTGTCTGCTTGACAACGGATTTTTGTTTTGTTTTTTAACATTAACTTGACAGAAAAAAAAGTGTCAAGTATTATGTGATGTCATCTGTTACATAATTTAAAGTTGATAGTTGATCGGGTTGTCAAAAGAAGAAAACTGAAAAGAAAATTATCGAGAAAAAACATCTTCAGATAATTATTAAAAAATGATATCGTACGCGTTAGTTAAGTTTATCAACGGCGTTGAAAAAATTATTCCAATAAAATGTATTGCAAATCACTCTCCTCAAAGCAAAACCGATTTCATGCGAAATCAAAAGTACAAAGTATGGATGTATGGTGATAATAGAAAAAGTGATTTACTATTAAATGCATTTATTATTCTCTTAGGAGGTAAGTTTGAATTTAAAATATTAATATTTTATAAGTGACATAAATATAATCAGTATTACAGTACTTATTTTTTTCTAGTTTGTGTTAAAAATTGAAAATATATTTAAATGGGCTTTATTTTTAGAAAGTGAAGCAGACATTCTTCAGCAGAAAAGTGAGAAACGTATAAAATATCCAAATACAAGAAACATTAGTTTTTCATCAGACGCTGATTTAAATTCCAATGGAGTAAAACGTAAAACCAATATAACAAGTCAAAAACAAGTAAAAAATTTAAAACAAACTTATTATTATTTAAAAAAGATGCTTTAAAAAGTTATTTAAATTTTTTTAATTATTTGAATCTTTTTTTAACATATATATTTAAAATTAGAAGAGGTTAAAGGTTTAGTTCTTATAGAATTACTTCTTACAGCCTGTCAAAAGAAGATTAAATCTTGAAACAAAAATTGCAATGGAGCACGAAAATAATGAGATATTAAAAAGACATTCTGAACTATTAAAAAAAAGAAGAGTAATTGAATCTTCAGAAAGTGAAACCGACGACACAGATGAAGAAGATAGTTCTTCAATTAATTCTCAAAGTTTAAATGGTATGGATGAGTAAAAATTTTACTTGTGAATGGATAATTTTTTAAAAATTTATTAGTAAAATTACATTATTTCTTAGAAAAGAGTCAATTAAGACCAGGGTGTCCATCAAACTTTAAGAAAAAATTCCTTGTCTTTTCTTTAACCTTCCTTTTCTGAACTATTGTAATTTAAAATTTGATTCGCAAAGAAATTTTTTATTGATTATTAATATTAAATGAACATTAACTTTTCAATAATTAAACTTAGCAATTCTTTTAATTGGGGTTAATTTCTAATTCATTAGATGCGAATTTCAATGAATCTCATTAAACGAAATAATTTTTTATTAAAATTTTAATCGAAAAAATTTACTTCTTCCAATGAAAATTTTAGTCTAATAAAATATTAGAATAGATTGAAAGTTCTGTGAATTGAAATTTGAATTATTGGCACTTTAAACTGATTAAAATTTAGATGTATCAAAATTTATAATCTTTATAATTTAGATGAATTAATTTCAGAGTTGATTAAAATTCTAATCATTTGATGTTTTGATTAATTAAAATGAATATTTATGGAAATTTTGATCGATTTAATTTGAATTAAGTTTAGAGTCAATTAAAATTTTAATCAATAAATGTTTTGATTACTTATTAATAGTGAGATTTATTGGAATTTGTATCGAATTAATTTGAAGTTGATCTAAATTAGAAAAATTGGAAATTTATATCGTTTAAATTTTTGAAAATAAGCTTAATTTAAAAATAAATTTTTAAAAATTATTTAAAAGTATTGCTTTAATTAAAATTTATTTAATTAAAATTTTATATCAGCTTTTTAATTGACTAAAATTTGAATTAATCAAAACTTTAATTAATTATGTAAAGTTTGGAATAATTGAATTTTTCATTTATTAAAACTTGAAATTGAATTTTTATATGATTAGAATTTTAATTAATTGAAATTTTAATTTATTACCTAAAGTGTGAAATAATTGAATTGTAAATGGATTGAAATGTTAAAGTATTAAATTTTCAATTGATTATAATTTGAAATAATTGAAATTTTTAATTAATTAAAATGGAAAATATGATAAACTTGACTTCTTTCAAAATTACTCTGCATTCGTTACTGCTTTAAAGAAATTATTGTTTATTGATAATAATAATTATACTGCGAATTAATAACATTAGTAGCATTGTATGTATATGTATATATATATACATATATATATATTTTTTTTTTCTTTCTTTTTTTTCTTTCTTTAAATAGACTGTACACATTGTATATTGTATAAAAGGGCATTGCCTGTATAATGCAGATAAATAAAATAATTAAATTTTTAATTGCGATTAAAACTAGGAGTAATTGAATTTTTAATTAATTAGAATGTGGGATAATTGAATTTTTGATTGATTGGAATTTGGAATAATTGAATGCATAATTGATTGGAATGTAGATTAATTGACTTATTGAAAGATTAGCGTTGGGAATATTTAAATTTTAAATTGATTTAAATTAGAAATAATTGAATTTTAATTTATTACAATTTGGAATAATTGAATTTTTAATTTATTTCAATTTGGAATCAATATAATTTTTTTAATTGATTGGAATTTAGATTAATTGACTTATTGAAGGATTAGCCTTGGGAATATTTAAAATTTAAATTGATTAAAATTTGGAATATTTCAATTTTAATTAATTCAAATGTGAAATAATTGAATTTTTAACTTAAAAAAATTCATAAATTTTTATCTTTGGGTATTATTAAATTTTTTGACATTTCATTAAATTTCCTGACTTTCTCTGATTTTTCTATATTCCCTGACCGCTAGACACCCTGAAAGTAGTGGAACATTTTATTATTTTAGAATTAGGTAAAATTCATTCATCAAATAATTTACTAAATAAATCCATATTAAATTATATCGGATTCCCTACCGATTTTCCTAATTTGAAATTCCTAATTTTAAAATTAGGAATTTCAAATTAGGAAAATCGGTAGGGAATCAAATTATATACATACATCGATAAACTTAACGTAAAAACATTATTCATATTAACTTACTGACAACAAAATTAATTAACTTTAGAAAGCGAAACTGAGAATGGAGGAGCGGAATCAGAAGATACTCACAAACTGACTAATACTGATGAAGATAATATTTATGACACAAACTCTAAAGGTAATAACTATTTTCAATAGAGTTGAAGCATATTCAACATAGACTTCTGTAGTAAAACTTTTTCTATTCCGATGGAGCGTTTAAGAATGCTTTGAAAAATGATTTAATATCCTATGTGTGCAATATTATTATCAATTTTAAATTCTAAACAACACGTTTCTTCGTCATTTACAAAAATTTATTTATGTTAGTAGAAAAACGACCTGCAAGCAGAAAATCACCATCTTCGCGAGCAACGACTGCTTCATCAAAAAGAGAATATCGTGACTCAGATTATGACTATCCTGGTGCTTCATCCAGAAGAGAATCTCGTGATTCAGTTGGTCGAAATTCCAGTGCTTCGTCTAGTAATGTATCTCGTGATTCAATTGGTTTAAATTCCAGTGCATCAACCGGAAATGTATCATCTCGTTCAATAAATCAAAATTCCGCTGCATCATCCAGAAGAGAATCTCGTGATTCATTTAATCCAAATTCAAGTGCTTCATCTAGAAGGGCATCTCGTAATTCAGTTGGCTCAAATTCCGGTGCTTCGGCCAGAAGAGAATCTCGTCACTCAGTCGATCAATTTTCCGATACTTCATCTACAGGAGAATATCGCGGTTCAGTTGAACAAAATCCCAGTTCTGCTCTTAGATATCAAGATTTAGAAGAAAATATTGAATCATCAATAGACGAAGAAAAAGTAAAAAATGTTTAAACAATAGATTTTTAGAAAACTAATATCTAATAATTAATAAGTTATATGTAAATTACTTTCATTAATTTAATCTTTTGTTTATTTTATAAATTTGAAATATTTTCTTGCATTACTAAAAAATATTTAAATACTATATATGTTATGTTCTATAAGACTTCATTCAAAATGATAATATATTAGCTAATATATATATATATATATATATATATATGTGTAATAATTTATTTTTCATCTTAGGTTCACCTAGGAGAAAACGTTTATGTAAGTTTGGATAAATGGGAAATGATTAAGAGGAAAAAAGACTCATTATTCGTCCGAGATACGATGGATGTAATTTGGAAAAGGTCAGTTCTTCAAAACAGATGTTCAGATGAAAAGAGAGCAAACGTAAGAAATGAGAATGAAGAAACTTACAGAAAACAATTGACTCCCAAAAAAATGGATTTATTAAAAAGTAATTTTTTTCATACTTTCCTCATAGTTTCCTTTCAATCTACTCATTTTCTTCTTTGTTGTTTTTCTCTTCCTTTCACTTATTTATTTTTTCCATCATTCTTCTTTTTTTCACTTGTCCTGTTTTCTCTCCCTTCCTTCTAATGCTCAACATCTATTTTTTTACACTTCATAACTTTTTTTGGCTTCTTTTACACTTGCTATTCTTTAATTTGTAATTCGTTTACATTTCTTGTATGTTTCTTGTTTTCTTTGGCATCCATCTTTTCTCGATAATTCGACTTGAATTTTTTTAACTTGACGATAATTTGTATAAATTAGTTGACAATTATAACCGCAACATTTTATTCAAATGGCACAAAACACTAAAATTGATCGTTTCTTAAAAAAAGGTTTTTGAAACACTATACTATACTATACTATACTATACTATACTATACTATACTATACTATACTATACTATACTATACTATACTATACATAAATGTAATACATTATACCATAATAATGTACAAAATTTTTAAAAAACACTTAAAAATCTTTCCAAATTTTTAAATGAATCTTCCGCCGGAATCTCCAGGGAAGCTTCCCTGGAGCTTTCTTGAAACATTCGGTGGAAGCTTCCGGTATAAGTTTCATTAGAGATTCCGGTGAAAGCTTCCTGTGAGGCTTTGCTTTTTATTTAGCAGCATTATTTTGCATTTTAAAATCCTATTTTATTAGCATCGTGGTGTTATTCTTGTCATCAAAATATTTTTATTTTTGTATTAACACTTTTCAATACATTGTTTCAGAATTATTCTATCAAAAAATCACGGAAAGTAAAGGAAAAAATGAAAAAGTGAAAGGAGCTCAACGTGCAGTGCGAATGAACAGGCTTGGAGAATATGTTAGAGCAAAATTATATGATACACGTTTTAGATTAAAAAAATAATGCATCAAATCTCAACAGGGATCATCTAGAAATTAAGGGTTGTTCAATTTATCCAGATAGCACGAAAGCTTGAAGCAAGCTAGCTTATAGTGCAATATTGACAAGCTGTCAGTGTAAGATTGACGCAAGCTTGCCTAAGATAACAAAATGTCCACTGTATAGCAAGCTTTCCGAGAAAGATTGTTGTACGTTTGCCATGAGAGGTTCCTGCAATCTTGTTATAAAAGATTGCTACAAGATTGCCAGAAATGATTGCTTCAAGCTTACTACGGATGGTTTCTGGAAGCTAGCCTTGAAAGTTTACTGCAAACTTACAAGAAAATGTTGCAGAATGATTGCAGCAAGTTTGCTGCAATTCCACAATAAATATTTTTTAAATTAAACATTATGTATTTTTAGTTATTTACTTTATTTATTTTTTTTACTTATAAACTTAACATTAATGAGAAATTTTTGGAAACAAATTTGAGGGAATTGGGATTTGAACCGAGGATCGACGGACATTAACCAAAGACCCTAACCAACAAGGTAAACAACTAAGTGTCGGTGAAAAACAAACTTCTACGTTGATAAACATATGAAAGATTCTTCTTTCCACTGACAGTTAGTTGCTTAGCTTGTTAGTTAGGGTCTTCGGTTAGCGTCCGTCAAACTCAGGTTCAATTCTCAGTCCCTTCAAATTTACTTGCAATAATTTCTTATTAATGTTAAGTTTACAAAAAAATAAATAATGAAAAACCATTCTTTTTTTAATATAAAAAATATTTTTGTTGAATTGGAGCAAGCCTGCTACAAGCTTGCGACAAGCTTGTTGCAATCATTCTGTAACATTTTCTAGTAAGCTTGCAGCAATCATTCCTTACAATCTTTTAGCAATCTTTCATGTTAAGATTGTAGAAACCTTTCGGCGCAAGCTTACAACCACCTTTCACGAAAAACCTGCTATACTGTGGACATTTTGTTATATCAAGCATGCTTGCAGCAATTTTTCCCTGCAAGCTTGGCAATATTACACGGTAAGTTTGCTGCAAGCTTGCCGCAAGCTTTCGTACTATCTGGGTAGCATCATTATCGCTTTGATTAAATGAAATATTCAAAATTTAAACCATTTATTGATAATGATAGATAAAAAATATAAAAAAATATAATATAATAATATAATAAAAATAAATTCAAAAACAATTAAAACAAATGTTAATAATAAGAAAAGAGTAGAATATAGCATTATTGTAATTTTCATTTAAACAAATACTATAAAGTTTTATTATAGATAAAGATAAATAAAAAATTATATTCACTTTAAAAAACGGTTATTTTGATACGGTCCCAAATATTTTAAATATATGTATTATTAGCAAAAATATTTTAATTTAATGAAAGTTGCGTTTAAAAATTTTTAAGTACATAAATTTTGTAACAAGAGTTAATAAATTTTAAAATAAATAAACTTATACAATGTTACTTTTATTTACAAACCTTCAAAAGTTTATATAGATTAAAGTTTGTTTTATAATTCATTGACTTAGTTACCGATCGAAGATCAATCAATTTAGAGTGGAAGACTATGGATGAGCAGCCAATGGGTTTAACTATGAGGGGGGAGCTTCAATAATTAAAAATGAATAAATCTCTACAAATGTCCTTATATTAAATTAATTAAATTAGATAGCTGAAATTTAATGTTCTATTTTCTTTAAAGCCGACTATAATTTAAAAAGCATCAAGTTTTTTAAAAAATTCACTTTTTCGGTTTCAGGAAGCTGTTTTAGAGTAAAACAGCCCTAAATCCCAGTATTCCAAGATCTTATTTACGATGTACATGTAAAAATGTATTATACAAGTATTACAACAAAAACTTAATTCACATAACACTAATTAATGTGAATTTTTTTTACCTATGTGGGCTATTTTTTAAATCGTAAACGTTGTCGTAAACGATATAAAATGGGTCGTAAACGACGTAGCATACTATACCAAATTACTATTTCGTTTTCTACGTCGTATACGATATAGTTTTTGATGTCGTATATGTTGTTGAATACAATATCCCATACAACATCATATACGACATTGAATACGATATTGTATTTTTCAAGTGGGCACTTTCAGTGTACGTCGTTCGGTCTCCTTATACTACTCCATGGCCAAATCATATGGCAGTATCACTTATAATTATGCCAGTATTGAACGATTATTTCTGTCAGTGTAGAATTTTCCTAATAGAATCCGGATATTTACGATTTTCTACGATATCATTTTGTTCAGGGAAATTAAAATATCCCTAGAATTTCCGCATGACCTCTAGGGACATCCCTATGGAACATCTTAGAGGTATTATCCTAATTTCTCCGGACCGAATAATATCCCTTGGACGTCCGTAAGATATTATCCTTAAATAATCGTTGCTGTAAGGGTTAAGATGTTTATTTATAAAATTGGTTAAAAGCCTTATTTCTGATCAACTAAATTTGCATGTAAAACAGTTTCCCATGTAGCTAACAACGCCAACTCACAGAATCTCAGAAACATAAAATATGTAGTTTCTACAGTCTAAATCTGTAAATTTCATATGCTGGTCAGTGATAATCATTTCCGTCAATAGAAAAGGCGCTAGATTGTTTGAAAATTTTTTATAAAATTTTTTTCCTCTGTTTTCTATAGATTGATCAACTTAATATCAAATGAATTTCATAGAGGTTTATCAGAATTTGTGGAAGAATTGAATTTGTAATTAATCTTTAAAGACTGTCCAACTTAAATTTTGACTATTGTGCGATCTACTAATATTGCTGTTGTTCTTACTCCAGGAAGGTGTTTAATTTTAATTGTTGTTAATCATTAGGTAATTATTAATTAATAAATAATCTTCAAAATGTTGATAAAAAATAAATTTTAAAAATTAGTTTTAACTTAAAATTATATACCATTAAAATAAATATATTACAGTTTGAAATGTTTGCAAATGTGAGAATTCTAATAAAATTTTTAAGATCAAGAGATTACAATAGGTGTGAAAGCGTCGTTTCGTTTTTTTTTTTTACCGGAAAACCACCGTAATCATACATAAATCACAATAGTGGAAGTGACTTGGTGACCGTTAACTTCCCAAAACAAGGATAATTTGTTCACTGAACACGTTTTCATATAGATATATAGAAAAAACATTCATAGACAGGAAAAAAAACAGCGGCAAAATATATAGTCACACACAACGGAACCGCACGAGATCTCCCTTGGGATAGGCGTGGAACACCAAAACACAGTCGTCACTCTTCTGCGCTCTCTGGGTTCAACAGGTCTTTAGGTTTTTAGGAGTTTAGATTTAAACCTAAGACGAATTCTTAGAATCGTATCTGTTCGGAGACATCTGGATGGTGAAGAGTGGACGATCATGCTTTCTTTCTCAAGTAAAGAATCTTTTTTGGGAAAATTTAAATAACCCCCCCACCCCCTACTCCCACAAAAGAAAGACCAATGAAATATCCAATGAGCAATGTATTTATCTTTTGATGAGTTTAGGACCTATTTATATTATCTTCCAGGAAGTGTTGTAATATGGGTAAATTTGTATTTGGAATGACTTCCAAATAGTAGTTTTTATCGTGATCAAAAG